ACTTACTGAGGGTGCACTCAATCCCCTCATCCAGATCATCGTTATCTCTGTGAAAGATGGCAACATGACTTCTCTGTACTGACATACAGCAGTGCCTGGTCTGGGATGCTGTGAAGATCTAAGAACATGGACTGTGGAGGATGGGATATAACATGGTACCAGCAATGAAACAGAGGCAATTTTGTACTTCTATTAGTGTGTTAAGACACTGAGCACTGCAGCTGTTCAGCTGATGGATAAAGGGCTGCCATACACCTGCTGAAGGTTTAAAGAGATTGGAAAAAAGGCATAAAGAGATGAAAAGAGATGAAAAGAGATGTCTAAAGGACAGAAAGTCAGTTAATATCCAGCAAATAAGTACTCACAGGGGAACCATCAATCCAGGCAAATCCTTCATCAGGATTTAAGAGAAACAAACCGATCCAGAAAGCCTGAGTGTTCAGTCCTTTATCCCTAAAATAAATCATACAATGTAGACACATGAGTGTAGAAAGAGGGGCCATGATGTAAATGCTGGAAAGCATAGAAACATGCTGCTTTCTGAATTGAGAGCTGCTCCCTCACTGTTGGCCCATAGCTTGGCTCACTGCCTGCACTCTGTCAAGGGGTTTGACAGTGCTCTGTGTTGGGACAAGGCTTGCCATATTTGACTGTAAGTTAAAGGACAAGCGATGTGGCACAGAGCTAGCCCAAGCTCCCATCCTTGTGGCTGTAACACAGCTCTTGGCTGTAGCATGAGCAGCACAGACAGAGGCTTTAGCAAAAGTAAAGCATCAATAGAGAACTATAATACTATTTAATTAATGAAAAATAGTGAAAAATATTTTTCAGCTGCTGTAATTTGCTTCTTGGCACTTCCTATGTAGTTTATTTAATAGTTCATGCTATTTATTTTGTGGTACCTATGGACCAGATAAAACAGAGTCCTATTTCATTCACTACATAACACAAAGATTTCCCTCTGCAAAGATTTCATAGTCTAAAGAAAAGAAACTTAATAGACAAGTAAAATCACATTCAGGTTCTCACAATACTGAAAAATAATACAAAGAGGAAGGATGAGATCACAAAGACTTTTCTGTGTGACAGTGTTAAATCTGTTTGAGAAATTAAACCTAGATTCACCCCTATGTGAAACAGTTTTGGTTAAATATATAATATGTGCCATTGAGATGACTTGACATTACGGAATACAATCAGAATGTATGGTCTAATTTGGGGGGAAAATAATGGCATAATTTCTACGTTGCGGGCAAGACATAGCATCTACAGTGCTAGCAAAAATTAATTAAAATTAATTCCTGTTTGATTTCAGGAGTCTTCCGTTTATAGTCAGAAAATTTCCACATTAAGTCCTTGCATTTTAGTTTATGTTACACATTAACTCAAGAGGTTTTTTAATGAGTTGATTAAAATATGAATTGCAGCCAATTAAAAAAAAGGCACAGTTAGAGCTAAACATTTTATTGTCTCCCTTTTGGAAGAGGGACTAACATGTACAGAGTTGATCAGCTCTGGAGAATAGTCTTGATAAAAACCTGATGAATAATAAAATGATTAATAATAAAAATAATGAAAGTTTCAAAACTATCAAAGCCTCTGAAATATTCAAGATTTTTTTTTTAAAGCAAAGTTTCAGGATGATATTTCCAGATGAAAATTTTCCATTTTAATTTAAAATTTGACTGTGTTTATTCACTCACTTGCCCAGCTCCAGATATATTTTGAAGGAATTCTTATGTAACATAGCATGAACATGAAAAATAATCGTTGTGCAAGTACTCACGATGCTAATTGCCATAATAAAATTTGATCTTCTCTTGTATTGATTGTGACCAGATTTCCTCCTATTTCTCTACAGAATTCTTCAGCCTCAAACCAAGACTTCTTTTGGTTTCCCTCTCTCACAAAAAACTATTGAGGAAAAAAAAAGTAAAAATAAATCACTAAATGTGCAAAATTTGGCATATAAAAATATATAACTGCCTATGTAATTAAAATCAGTATCACTTTAGCACCCCTTTATTCTTGAGTGAGACAACATAACATCTGTCAAGACCTATAATATTAAATATTTTATTTCTTTATTAAAAATATTAGTAAAGTAAATTGTAAGTATATTTTTCTTAGCATCCTGTATTTTAAAATAGGGCAAGAGTAGCATAGGCATCTGAGGAGAACAAAAGGTATCACAATGTACAGAGAAGAAAAAAATAATTTATAACTTAATTGGAACTTTGACCACTGAAAGGCTCAAAGAAAGATGGAATAGCTCAGTTGTGGTATTTCACAGCAGAAAACAGGGCAGTTTTGAGAAATGGAAGGTGGAGTGAAAATCAAGAGGTTGGAATAGAAAAGATAGTATAGACAGAGAAAGCCATTTGACAAGGTGCTGACCCTGGCCAAGGAAGAGATTTTTGTATGGTGGTGCAAGCCTAAAAATAGCTTCACTTTCTACTATGAAGTATGTATGTTCTTGAAGTAAGGCACTGGCTGCTTGACATTTTGGGGAAAGGTTAACCAACAGTTGGGTAATTGACAGAACCGATAATGTTAGTAACAATAATTGTGACATAGAAGTTGAGACCCTTATAAATACACAGCTAAATTCATCTCTGGCCTCCCAACAGGCAGAGAGTCTCAAGAAAGAAAGTGAGAGGATACTTATGTAAAGACCGGAAAAAAGAATGTTGCATATTTACTTTCACCTAATCTATTTTGCCTTTTCTTTACTTTTTTTTTTTTTCTTTTCAAAAAGGAGACTTTTTAAGGCATTTTTAACTAAATCAAAAGAACACCCAAAACCTTTACTTGCTGTAGAGTCACCAATGTCAAACTAAAGCAGGATTTGAAAGTATCACTGAAAGTGTTACATGTTGTATGAGAAAAGGTTGGCAGAGGGCCAGGTTTCCATAAGTTTTCTCTTAGAAACATTGCCTTATGCAAGTGACACTGCCAGCTTTTGAGATGCAATACTATTTTTTTCTGATGTCCCAAATTCCTGGAAGAAAATAAATTAGGTGAGGTTCTCACCTTGCATTTAAACAAAAGGAAGTGTATTATTTCTACTACTCTGTTTTCATTGTTTCAGGTTGTCAGTTGTTGACTTTCATTATATTTGATGAATTTTCTCATGGTTTTTTGCCCTTGAATACCGTGGAGATCATTCCGAAAAAATGACCCAACCCCTGCATCCCTGAGTACCACCGTGACCAGGGCACCGACCCCTGGGCTGCCCTGTGCTCAGGCTCACAGTGAAGGTGGACACACACTTACTTTGAAGCATGAGTCTGCCCGGGAGGCTCTGTCCCAGCCTTCGGCACAAGCGGCCACAGGGACCCATACCGAAGGAGCAGGAGGCAACGCTCCCACTGCCCGCTGTTTGCAAAGATAATTTGCTGTCTTCTCACAGCTAACAACATCCCATAATCCAGATGCAATTCCAGTTCCCATGGCAACACAGCCTTGCTCTTTCCCGTTGTGACATGGAAAAGGAGTAAAACCAAAGTCTTAATTGTTCTCTAAGAAATGAGACCTTTGCTTTTATTCATAGAAAATTATGAAAAGGAAGATGCAGATTATGCAGATTAAAAACCATCCTGGATATAAAATTGTTTTTAATACCTCCTGCCAGAGCCCAGATATGGGCCAATGAGTCTCACAGACACACCTTTGCCAAAAACGGAGATTTGCAGCTTTAGAATACAAATCTTCCTTATCTTGCCACCCCAGGGAAATCACAGGGCAAATGACACTTGATTTTATTTACATATGTAGCAGATGGCCTGACAACTACTTTGGGGTTCTTAATATCCAAGTAACTCAACTTCAAGAAGGCTGATATCAAGTACAACAGGTTTGTTTTAAGGCATAACTAGCTAGTGTGAAGGCAAGAGTTCCTGCATAGGTGCTTGTCTGTTTTGCTGAAATGCAAAACTGCTGGACCGTTCGCTGCTCATTTCTCACATATGCACCTTGTGGGTCCAAAAAACTGTCCATAATAATTTTTCTCAATCATCTGATGAGTTGTTGTCAACTCGTGTTAAAAAGTTGAAAAAAAATGAGACCATGGACCTTGTTAACTCCTGCACAGTATTGCCTTCAGTCTAATCCATTAAAAATCTGTTTCTGTACAACTTGCAGGAGATTGACTTACACAACACCTGACACTCAGCTGTGACAGTGCTTGTTGCACTGATGTCAAACACAAGGTCTGGTGGTGTTGGTCACCTACAGCTACAAGCACAAAAGAAAGTGCCTACTCTAATTTCTCAAACCAGGAGATGGAAAGCAGAAACCTGCAGTTGCAGCTGCGCTCCCATCACAAGGGTTGAGCCCATGCAGAGCTTACCTGGCATTGCTGTGTTCCAGTGTGTGAAGAGAGGAGTTTCACCAGTGGTCCACCTGAAACTCCCTCGTTCTTCTGTGTCAGAGAGACCAATCCAGAAATATTTTTCAGACCTCAGCCCCGTCAGACTAATCAGAAAGGCTTGCTCATTGCTGAAGTGGAAAACAGTGTTCATTCACAACCTATTACCTTGCAATATTGATCTAAGTGGTACAAATAGAGGTATCACTATCATGCTAGCATGACCCCAAGGCAACAGCCCCTCAGTGACATTCAGGCAAAACCTCAGCAGGCTTTTAAGTGTGGTCAAAAGAATTTGGTGAGGGACGACTTTCTCCTTTCAGCTGAAGGCATCTTCTCTCCTTTCCACTCAGTTCTGTGAAATGTTGCAAATCACTACTCATGTAGGCTTCTAGCTGTAGGCTACTATTTTCCTTGTCTTTCCAAATATTTAACATGCCTCAAACAGACCACCAAGTCAGGACCAAACTGTCGGCATTGCCACCTATCACCTCTGAAGACAGTCATGTTCCTCAGAGGCCATGAAGCCTGCAAAGCCTGACTGAGATATGGGTAGTTTGGAGGTGATACATTCTGGCGGCGGTGGGCCAGGTCCCAGGGAAGATTTCCTACATTTGTTCAGAATTTGGCTTAGAATTTAGTTTAGGAAAATATTTTTGTTAAAGTTTTCCTATCATGATGAGATAACACCCATCAGTAAATAGATGAAAATTGTAGTAACTAATTTCCAACAGAAAAACAAACAAACTCACAAACAAAAAAACCAAAAACATAGAAGTTGCTTTAATTAAGAATTGAAAGATAAAACTGTTTGACTCAGGAACCCCCAAAATTTGAAAACTTTTATAACTTTTATAACAGTAGAAAGCCCTAAAACATTGAGTCTGGTTTTTTCCTGCATGGATAATTTTATTTGGCTTACAACTACAAAATTTTTGAAAAGCACAGTTAAAACACTTTGAAGAGTTCAAGAAATGGACAAGTTTTGCAAGTTTCTCCATCAGAAGCACTGATTTGGGAGTATAAAAAAAGATATTTTCCTACCTGCTTTCCACCGTAGCTAGATAAGCTTTTCTCTGTTCACAGGTCTGTCTTGCTTCTGAGAATGTCAAAAGTGCAGAGCCCACCAAGTAGCAGTGAAAATCATATCTTTTCCAACCCTGTGACAAACATGTTTCTTAATGTGAAATTGAAAGAGACTTCAATATAGACAATAGTTCTGCGCTGTTGTGTATAAATAGTCAATGTTATATTTGTTGCAGCTGAGCTTAAAACCAAGATGAGACTGGACCAATCTGTTAACAAACAAAAGCTGATTTTTTGTTGCTGTTTGCTCTTACAGAAGGCCTTTTTTGCTTAAAAGATGACATTAAGATCTTAGTTTTCATCTTTTTTACGTGTACATGACTTTTGAAAGAAAATTGTGACTGTGCTATTTGCTATTGCTTTTCAGTGCTCTGTAGGGCTGGGATTATGCAAACTGCACCATAATGAGCCTGTGATTCATTCACGAGGGAGCTGCAGTGCCAGCCTTCCAGAGCTGCGGGGTCTGACAAAATGAAATACAAAAATATTGCAATATGGAAATGAATTCACATACAAGCACAACTCCCCAAAGCTGCCCCTGCCATCCCTAAGTGCAATGGGTGAGGAGACTTTCTGAGCCAAGAGGAATCCAGTCAGTGCTTGTTTGTGGGGAGGGTAGAAAGGAGGATTATCAGTAAAACACCCCTGCTTCTTCCTGCTCTTAGAGAGATCTATGCTGACCAATATAGATATAATGATTTTCTGAAAAGGTCCATTCTGGAAAAATTACTTGTTTGAAAAAAAAAATAACCTGCTGATATCACTCAAAGGCCAATTAAGTAGTCCATCAGTAGTAATATGGTACAGAAAAGTGGATCCTTTTCTGTTTTATTTTCTTTATTTTATTGTTCTTATATAGTAAGGACTTTATAAAGACTTTAAATAGACAGCAGATCTGAGAGAAGAGACAAAGTGGCTTTTGGTAATTTTACATGTATTGTTAGGCTAAGAGGATAAACAGAGAGAATAGTGGTGAAATTATGATTAAATTAAGATACATGCAGTTCTGTCACAGGGTGGCTTATCTGGGAATGGAGGGAAAGACAGTATTCATGCACATGTAAATGAATCTTGACTTTCTTGAGTATTTTCAGAGCAAAAATGAAAAATGCACATATATTAGTAAATTGCTAGTAGGAAAAGACTAGGTTTCCTCAAGAGTAGATTTGCTAGAAGATACAAACACAAAGACTCTAAAAGAAGCAAGAACCAGTAAATTAATTCCCGTTCCTTTTTCCCAACATAATTAATTTATGAGAGAGCATTTACTTTCTGGCAGCCTGGGTCCTCGACTGACTCTTTTTCAGAGGATTGTGATGAAGGCTTCTTTTTACAGATGTAACCAAGTTGCTTATCACAAATGGCAGTTGCCCAGTATCCATCCTAGAATATCAGGGAGAAGAAATGAATGTAAAAAAGGGCCATTCATAAACACAAGAAAACTAGTGTTTTCTTCTTTCTTCACTACTGAAATATGTTACCTAGGAAGGCTATAGGATCATTGCTGGAGATTTATTTTAAAAAAAAGAGACACATCTGTCAGGATTGGTTTAAGATCCATTTGATGCTGTTTTGAGTTGAAAGAAGGAAATAAATAATACCCTGAAGTCTCAGCATTGCTTGCTATCATAACTATCTATTTAATGAGAGGTTTTGTAAAGATACATCTCATCTGGGGCTAATGGATCTGCAGGATTATTTCACTACACTTCTGGAAAAAAGATCAATGAAACTGAAATAATGCACATGTGAGTGTGTTGCAGTAAATCTAGCTATTTTATCCATCATGGAGAAGACTTTGAAAATGGCTGATTTCTTTTAAAAAAAGGAATTACCAAAAAAAAAAAAGAAATTTAAATAGGAGCTTTCTTCCCCATAAAACCTGGCTTAGGATCAATTCTATTGATGCCTAATACTGGGTAACATCAATATTATTCTATGCTATAGCAGTTCTTTCAATAATGGCATTTCTTTCATAACAGCATTTTCAATTTGTTTCTGTTAAAATTCATGACACTTTTTGTGTCTGTATGTATGTGCATGCACATGCATGTAAATGTGTCAGCCATGTCTTGCAAGAAAGTAAAGTTTGTGAGTCAAGAAGTCAGAAACGCTCCAGGATTTTAGGTTAGGTAAGGTATTTGGCAGGTAGGTGTTAGTGATCTCGTTATGTCACAGATGAATAAACATGCCCTAGTGCCAGGTCTCTATGCCTCAATGCCATGTCTCAATGAAATGACATTGAGGGACATAATGGTCTATCAGATTGGAAAATGAGGTATGCAAATAGCATCTATGATAACCCTACAATGTATTTACTAGTTCATCCCCATTCCTCTCCCAGAGCTATAACTTTTTTCATTGCTGCAGCCAAGAGAATGAATCTAATGTAAAATTTCTGGATCAGACTTTTCACCAGATAAGAAATCTCAAAAGGTAGCACTAGAAAAATGTTACGTCTCTATTTCTGATCTTTCCTGTCCTCTGAACTTCTCTTCTGGTTGATGGCAAATTTATGGGGAAAACTATTTTAAGCTAAGATATAGAATGACTCCTGAATAAGTATGTAAAGGCAAGTGATTTCAGACAGTTGTAGTTGTTAGTTTACATTACTATAAAATGCTAATACCTGCCCCTTCATAACAACACAGTCCTCCAGACCATTTGTGTAGGTGGGATGCCTGCACTGCCATTTGGTGAACGTCACAGGAGTCCCATCACTCCACTCGAAATAGAAATGAGCCTTCAGGTCATTCAGACCCAGCCATAGCTCTTCTGTTGGCTCTGCAGCATGAAAAGAAATAGGTTTGCTTATGGTCTGCTATGCAATACAGTGAACAAACAGGGACTGATAAATTTGGAATGCGGTGCATGAGAGGTGGTCTTCATGCTCTAACAAAAATGCTGGTTTCCTCTCAGATCTGCAGTAAGAGATGTCTTGGTCTGTACTGAGAAGGCCTCAGATTCTACCCAGAAATCCTGAGTTTAATAAACACAGGGGTCTTTATGGCTGGCAGAAGGTTTTTGCACACTTTCTGAGTATCTGTGACTTAGAACAACAAAATGGCCCCTAGCATGGAGAGTAGGACAGTGAATGGCTGTGAGTGTCCCACCTGGGATCATACTGAGCCCAAGCCATGAAGACATCTGCCAATACATCTCCTTAATGGGGAAGCATTAGAGGGCTTCTAATGGCCCTTAAGGGGTGTTCACCAAGTCCAGCATGTGCAACAAGTGTCAGGACTGGTTGCTACAGATACAAGGAAAATCAGAAGTTAAAAGATATTATTTTCTTAGAAGGACATATAACAAGATGTTAACCTCAGCGAGAGGTTTTAATCTCAGCAAGAAGTTAAATTTCTTCTAAGTTTGGAACTCAGTTCTGAAGATATTGAACGTAGAATAAAGATGCCAAAAGTGCACTTTTTAGAGTTCTTTATGTGTCTCTGTTAGGAATACCATTTTTTTCTTTTCCCGCTTTATAATGTTTTACAATGTAGATTATTTCTTGATAAATATAAATATACTTCTATGTTTATGCAACAGCAACAACATAAAAGAGCACCGCAAGTTCGATTCAGCCTTCCACTTGTGACACTTCAGAGAAAGCATTAATATTTAATATGAAGCCCAGCTTTTATGTTACGGATGGGGCAAACACAATACAGGCCTACATATATACTCACTGTAACCAAGCTGTGACACTAGAAAGCTGTGTTCAGCAATGTTGTGGACACTTGCCAAATCTCCATCTTTCCCCTTACATGCAGTCAGAGCATCTTTCCATATTTTGGGTTCCCGTTGAATGCTGTAGCAGTGGCCTGCATATGGCCACCAGCCATCTGGGCACTTAATTGGTCTCAATTCCTCTAAAATCAAAGCACAATTTCTCAGAGCATTTTTGTAAGAGGAAAATATATGACAGTAGAATGAGGTCTCTCGAGCACTCTTTACAAAAGTGAGACTCTATGAATAAACATAAAGCTGTAGTTAGAAATGCAAATGCATTCGAATGAAAACCAAATATCATTAAGGCACAGTATGCTAAATATGCAAATAGAATTATGTCTCCTTAGGCATAGAATCGTTGAAAAATGCCCACATTGTGTCAGAAATGCAATTTGAAATAATGCTCTGCAAGGAAAGAGAGACAAAGCAGACATCGGCCTCTCCCCTCTTTACCCCCAGAGCAGTTCGGTTAGTGTATCATGGTCTCCTGTGCTGCATGCAGTGGCTGACATTAGGCTCTGCCTCCTTTTCAATGTCTTCTTGCAAACACACATAATTTTTAGATATGGAAAAGTGTGAAGTAATTCTTTAGTAACTTGTCGTGGTTTAGCCCCAGCCAGCAACTAAGCACCACGCAGCCGCTCGCTCACTCCCCCTACCCCGATGGGACGGGGGAGAGAATCGGAGGAGTAAGAGTGAGAAACACTCCTGGGGTGAGATAAGAACAGTTTAATAATTGAAATAAAGTAAAATAGTAATGCTAATAGTAACAGTATAATAATGATAATAACAATGATAATATACAAAGCAAGTGATGCACAATGCAATTGCTCACCACCCGCCGACTGATATCCAGACAGTTCCCGAGCAGCCATCGCTGCTCCCTGGCCAACCCCCCCCCAGTTTATATACTGAGCATGACGCCATATGGTATGGAATAGCCCTTTGGTCAGTTTGGATCAACTCTTCTGGCTGTGCCCCCTCCCAGTTTCTTGTGCACCTGGCAGAGCATGGGAAGCTGAAAAGTCCTTGACTAGCATAAGCAGTACTCAGCAACAACTAAAACATCAGCGTGTTATCAACATTCTTCTCCTACCAAATCCAAAACACAGCACTATGCCTGCTACTAGGAAGAAAACTAACTCTATCCCAGCCGAAACCAGGACATAACTTCAGGTCAGTAAACAGTGCAAATTAGTGCAGACTTGGTAGTTTTCTCTTCATATTAACTCAGTGGCTTTTTTATGACTTAGATTCCTAAGTATCTTTAAAAGTATACCTTAAGCTTGCTTTAAAAATAGGGGGTTTTAAGGTTAATAGGGGAATAAAGATTCTCTGAAATTATTGCTCTGCTTTCTTTAATATAACTACTTCATTAAAAGTAGCTTTTATAACATTCCCGGATTACAGCCTCCAGCAGATTCCTCCTGCATGTGGCATGTTCATAGCCACGTTGTCTCATCGAAGCCTCAGGTCAGGGTGACCTATGAATGAAATGTATGAATACTGCTATGGCCTCTATGAATACTGCTGCTCCTCCTGCTCTGCTCATGTGAACCCAATGCATTGCATATTGTTGTCATCAGAGGAGGATTTTTTGCATTAATATTAGAGTAAATGCAATTGCTCTTTTGGAGCAAATGAGAAGAAAATGAGAACCATAAAATCTCTACTGTATTTATGCAAATTTGATTGCTGACACTGGTTACCATGACAGAGCAGCTTTTATCTGTCCTGCAATGATGAATGATAGAGTGATGGAAGAAAATAATTATATTCTCCTATGAATGGTTAATACACAATGGGAGGATAAAAGCAATATCTAAAAGTCTGTATGTGCACGTATAGCTGTGTTTTTCAAAGGTTTCTAACATTTTGGTTGAAAAATAATGTTGCATGTTTTTTATCATTTGTGGATCTTTACAGATTGCTCTTTCTAGCAGTCAAAGAAAAATCGTTCTTTTTATTTGACTAACCTACCTTTTGGTAGAATATCAGACTTTGAACTGAAGTTTCTCTTTTTACAAATGTAGCCAAGTCTCTGGTTACATGCTTGGTTTTCCCATTTAGCATTTTTTCTGGGATTCATCACTCCACAGATTTTCCCAGGGAGCAGGAAAGGACTTCCTTTGAGTAAGAGAGAAAATAGAATCTCACAGCAAAAATAAATTAAAAAGATAAACAAAACCATCATATTATCAGTAGAAACATCAACTTACTCTGTTTTCTTCAATGCTTAATATGAAGAAGCCCTCTCCCATAGGATAACTGGTGTTGTAGTTTACAGGATGCTTTTAGTCTATGCTTTGAGAGTGAAGTAATGACACTCCATTGACTTTGTGTCAGGATAGTACTGGGAAATTTCTGGTTCTTTTCCTGATATCCTGGTGCCCACAGACAGAACAGCTGAAGCTAGCCTGTTATGCTGTGTCAAAAACTTCCAAACTTTAAAAACTATTCAGTTTTAAATTATACGATCCCTCCAGTATATCTCAAGAATTTCACAATTCTACTTTCCTATAAAATAGCTTTTCTCTTTTCTGTTGCAGTGTGTAAAAACCTCTCTAAGTAGCAAAAGAAATTACCTGATACAGAATTTTTAAAAACTTAGAGGAGAGTTTAATTATTCCTTTGCCACCTTGTAACTTTTTCTAAACAGAAGACGGCTTGAAATACTTGTGGCACAAAGAAAACATGGGACCAAAAACCCAACGAGCAAACAGAAGAACTCTCCACGTGTGAGGAGCACCACAAACCCACCCCTGTCTCCCTTCCTTGAGGTGGCTCAGTGCAATTTTGCATACACTGCTGAGGAATTATGAGCTGGCTCTGTAAGCCTCTTTATAATATTTAGAATTTCTCCAGACAACATAGTGCCATTATTTTCTAAATATTTTGCTACTTTTGGAAGATTTGATTTATATTTATACTCTTGGGCAACATGTTATGGAAAAATTCTGATCTCTGGTCTGTAGGTTTATATATCACTCCAAATGATACTCTGCTTTCATAAACAAGTTCTTTGCTTATATAAGAAAATAAAAGAACTTGCTATAGCTGATATCCACAGTGAACTTTGTAATTTGGAAGTGTACTTCTTAAAATAAAGATCTAGATTTTCAGCTATTGTAAATCAGAATGGGCTTTCCTGAAATAAAAGTAGCTAGGGCAGTTTTTATTAGTTGGTGTCTTATCAGAATGCATTCAAAGATTACAAAATAAATACAGTTCTTACCTGGAGCCCAGTTTAAATATCTGAAAGGGCTGCCCCCAGCCCATTGCCATCCACTGTTGAAATTCAAAGTGTTCAATCCAATCCAGAATGCAAAACTGAATTTTTTAGTTAGCTCTAAATTAGAAAAAAAAGTCAGTTGTATCTCCCTATTCTCATTCTTACCAAGTTCATCTAAAAGAAATGAAGTCAAAAGTAAGAAATTTATATTTCCTAGTTTAAACCAGTCCAAACCCAGTACTTTCCACATTACTGAGGTGCACAGATTAAAAAAGAAAATATGTAAATGAATAAATACTGATTTAGCAGACATCTCAGTAGTTAAAAGGGCAAATGAATGTGTTATTTCACTACTTAAATAAGAGTCTACTCTCACTTTGTTTCATTACAACATAGGAGATGCAAAAAATACCTTATTTTCATTAGGGAATTGTGCTAAAATGTTTCTGTAATAGATTTCATGGAGTAAACATATCAAAAATACAAAGACAGTGTGCCAATCTGTTGCTTCTAGATCTTTTTCTATGATGTGAGTGGTTTCAAAGCCTCCTTCACACCATTTATAACCAAACAGATACCATGATACCTGTATCAGCAATCCACTGGAGTTATTTGGAGTTTATGTATGCAAATGGTCCATATTAGGACCAATCTAGCCATCATCATATGTTGTCCTAGAAAGATTAATAGTCCTTGACACACAGAGGAAAATGGTAAATTTGAGGACCAGACCATAGGCCTGAGCAAAATGAGTGCACTAGCACGAAGGCAGCCCTTTGTGGTAGCTGCCACCTGGAGTGGTGGGAGGGTCCATTTCCCACCCTGTAGAGGTTTGGGACCAACCCTTCAAAAAAAACCCACCAGCTAGTGGAAGGGCCGTTCAGACCACCTGCCTTTTGGCAGCGGGTGAACCGCCCCTGACACCCTGTCTTCTTCACTGAGACAGAAGACAAGGCAGCCAACTCCATTGTCTAAAGCTTTGGGACAGCATATTTTAAAGTCTTGTTCTCTATCATTTTACCTCCTATATATGCTTGCTCATGGATCTCTGTGATGCTTAATAGTTCTGCATTTTGCTGCTGACAGCTTTTCCTTGCTTGGTGCCATGTTAGAGCTGATTCTGAGTTCATCTGATAGTGAATGCCAGTTGAAACATCTTCTGTCCAAAATCTTTCTGTGTCATCTGAAAGAAGAAGTGACATAGAGCACTGCTGTTAGAGGACTGACATTGCACCAACAAAAAGCAAATGAAGAATGTAATGATGCAAAATCTCTAAAAATGCACAGTATTAACTGTATGCTATCATCAATTTTAAAGCACCAGAAAAATTGAAATCAGATTAGGCATCAATTAAAAAAAAAAAGTGTAATTTTTTGGAAATTAAAAACATTATTTTATATTTCTAAGTTTTTTAGAAGGGAGTGCATGTGTTTCCAATATTTGCTTTTAAATTTTCTTTTACACAACATGTAGTACTAGGTAAACCCGACGTATCTGTTGATTGCAAAAAGAGATTCCAGGGTGAAGTCAGAGGAGGAAAGTGAGTGTGTAGCTGAACTATGACCCTGGAGGCTCTTCATCCCTGTGGGGCAGGAACTCCCTCTTATCTCATCATCAAGAGAAGCAGCTTTTTCAAAAATGGCAGAACCTGGCCCTTGACAGCCCAGAGAGCTATAAAAACAGTCTGTGTAGCACCAGTGTGCAGATCAGCTGCAGTCTTTGCAGAACCACTCACAAAACCTTGTGAAAGTGTTGTGTTATTGGGAAGGCAGTTGGTGAGAAAAGTGAAACAGGTTGTGTCCTGAGGTGGAGGGATCCGAATCTAAGTTTGGTGCAGAAGATAGTACTAAGATGGGAGAGGAAGGTAATTATAGCAGCAGCATTTTTGTGTAGGCTGGCAATAGGAGACAAGGACAAGATAGGAAATGGATGTTCAGGGGCAAAATCAGTATATAGCAGTTTAAGTTAGAATTGACCTGCAGGGCATGCCTGAGGAATAAAGAGCAATAGGAATTTTTTGAAAGGAAGATATCGGTCTAAATTCATGCTGGTCATGCCATGCACTTAAGTCACATAAAATGAGATATCAAAGAGCCTCCTCACCTCTCTGGTCTACAAGGAGAAAGTGACCTCCAGCAGGTAGGTCAGAACCTGGCTGGGCTGAACCACACTCTGGAGGCACCTCTTCATCTCCACTTGCTATAGAGGGAGCATTTGACTACTGGGGCTAATGTTCAGTGATGTGATTTTCATTTAGGCTACTCTGACAAGGTTTGTCGTGAGGGTGTGTAGCTGGTAGCTGATAAAGAACCTGGTAGTGCAATAGATGGTTTTCTCAACAATGTTTCATGACAAGTTAATAAATAAAATGGAGGACTTACTTATTAGTGGGCAAAATCCATACAGTCTGTCAGCATCAAAGTCTGCAGTTGTCGCACACCAGAGCCAGCCATCTGACCTACCAGCATCTGTGCACTCATTGTACTGTTTGCCTTCATATATGAAAGGGAATACACATGGCTGTCCCTTGGCGTTTCCTTGTAATGTAAAGGTATCTAGGGGGAAGAAACGGTTAAGAGGACATATGAAAATAATCATAAAATCATAAATCTGACTTCCTAGTAATGGATCTATCTACCAGTATATCTGTCTATCTAAACTGAGAGGTCACACCATCTTTTTTTAATTAATTTTTATCATTTTTCCCCCTTGTGTAGCTAGAGATTTTAAATAAAATGTTGCTTCAGTAAAATTTGGGTTTTAAATACTGTGTTTAGAGTTTGATATATATACCTTGTAGGAAAGTCATATTCTGTGATGATAAATTGCTAAGTTGTGGTTCCTGAAAACAGGAAAACCACAAGTAGGTCTCAGACAACAAGTCCACTACATTGTTGTATTCTGTATGGCTCAACAGGTTTGCTTTATCACTCCATCTTTTCATTAATTGTTTAAAGAAAAAGGATAGCTGACCAAAGAAAATACGGATCAGGTTGTTATGAGCATATTTACACGTAAAAATTTTAGGTTTCCATTGCACATTTCTGCACTTGGAGAGGTCTTGCAGATTCACCCTCAACTCAGATTCTTTAAGGTTGTCAATGCTTCATCTTTTTAAACTATCACAGTATTATGGGAGAGTTCTTTTTTCCTGAAAATTCTGATACACATGCTCAATCTCACATTCACGCAAACACATTCATCTGCTCAGTTCTACATACATTACTATTTTACCATTTCTCTCTGTAGCTATACCCAATGAGTGATATACGTCTTCAGACTAGAACTATTCTTCTAATTTGGTCAGACTGGAGGGGAGGAGCCAGTTCTTCCTTCTCATACCTCATGTCTTGGAGCAGAAAGAGAAACTTGCACAGCTATCATGAAAACATAGATCTAAACCCCTTTGACTGATCACTGCACCATGGGTAAACGGAAAGAGCTCCATGCTTCCTCATCTCTCATCGCCCTCCAATACAGTGCCATCTGATTTGATATTTCCACAGAAAGCAATTCCAGTTTAAAGATCCTGCTCTTGTTACCTCCATTTCCCCCAACATCCCTACATCTCCCCTCTTTTATTCTGTGAATCAAGAACTGCCAGGATAATACCCAACACACCCTTTAGATCATGTATCCAATCTGATAACAAATACGAAATAATCAGTCTATGCATTACAACTGTAAAGCTGCCCAAGGAAAAACATTTTCATATCTAGTTTAACACAAAACCAACAGGAAACTTACCCCGTGACTGCAATGAACCATGCACGAGGGAAAGAAAAACTAGGAACCTGGAGAAACTCATTGCAAATGTAACTTGCTTTTCATTCCTTTACCAAAAGTTGGACTATAAGATTGGCAGTGTATAAAAGCCTTCTGAGTGAGGATAGTAACAGGTCCTTCTCTGTTTCAACGGGTTGATGGATAGAGGTCCGTAGTCTAAATAAGGAAATATCCTGTCACATGGTATTTTGAAATAACTAGAGTGCACATTGCAAACACTGCTCTCTTTGAAGAGTGAGTTGCTTTGAAAACTGAAGTCTCCATCCTTGTAACTAGAGGTGGTGGCATTTGTCTTTTTCTGGCACTTGGCTAGTATTATATATGGGTCAGTTGTTGCGGTGCTACACAGGACAGACCTCTAAAAAAACAACTTGAGAATTGGTGACAAGAAACCTGGAGTTAAATATCATCAATTAAAAACTCAGTCTCTGCTTTAACCCTTACATCTCAGAAACAAAGGCGGACAAAACCCCGGTGGTTCAGTACATTGCTGTAATGTCACGGCTTTACATATCTGGGAGAAAGAGAGCAAATTTTACAGGATCTGCAGTATTTGGTGCATTATGAATTATTGCTCACTTTAAAGGCTAAAATTGGGGTTTTTTCTGCACTGTTACTCTGCTTGTTTTGATCACAGTTTGAGGCTGGGCTGTTTACTTGTCGAAGATCTGAAAGAAGTGAAGATGTTCAATGCTATAGGCTAGTGGTAAGCTTCCCTGTAACAGGGGGGAAACTTTTGCCTGGAATACTTCTGTCAAGCAAAAGGATATGTTCATCTATGTGAGAAATTCCTAATGAGGGTGTTCCAGGACAGAGCCAAACATAAGCTAAATTGGAAAAGCTTCTTTGAAACTGTGAGCAGAGAGCTCATCTGAAGACTTATATTGGCACGGCAATTCTTGTACAACAATGCTGCAAAGCTGTGCTGGCAAATATTCACATACAGACAAATCCTACTGTTCTTTCTGTTTATTTACATCAGTGAAATTAGAAGAAGTTGTGATAACAAAATTGAAAAAAGCGAGAAATGAAATAGTCAGTAGTGAGGTATATATAGAAGCTGAACAGAATATGTCATATGAGGAGCAATTATCTTTGCTCTTATTTATAAGGTGTTAGGGAAAATTATTGCAACAACTGGCTAAACTTGTTCACTTGACTGTTAGAAAGTACTAAGAGAGAAAAATATTTTCAGAAAAAAATGGCTGGATTTCAGTAAAAGTAGAAACTGAATAAATTGTTTAATAATAAATATTCTACTTGCAGATGACATTCAGGGAGAGCTTAGCGTGAGCAAGGCTTGCAAGAGTAGCCCAAAGCTACAGACAACAGTGGGGTGGGAGAGAAATAGAAGCTGAGTTTACTGAATGAGACCATATTTTGGATACATCTGAAATCACAAAACGAAATAGCTCTGACAGAGGGATCCCAAGGGAAAATACCTGGAGGACACAATTTCTGCCTGGTTCCCTCCTCTGCCTCACAAAGTGCCAGCTGCACTCCAGTCCAAACTGGGCTTTAGTCCCCCTTCTTGTGTGAATGGATGCTTGTGAGGATTCAGCTCCACAAGGCTGCAGAGTGATGGGGGCAGATTAGTGCAGACACTGGGGTGGGCTAAAAGAAGAACTTCAGAGCTGCCCCTTTCACATGAACAACCAGCTTGATGCTGGTTACAAACTTTTAGGGGTCAGTGTCCTGCGTGCTGCATTTCACTTGTGCAATAACCTGTTCTCACCAGTGTGCTAAATTCTTGATTGTATTTATGCCAAGAAAACAGGAGTCTGGTGCCTAGAAAAGAAACTTCATTATTTTTTATTATTATTTCTTTTAACTTTCCAGCTTGCTCAGTAGACCCTGTGCAGCCTGGGGAAGGCAAGTGGTTTGCTGGGGCTATCTGTTAAGCACTCTTCCCCATAAAGTGTTTAGTGTCTAAACTATATTTGCAGCCCACCTAAATGCTATTTTTGTACTACTTTCCACTGTTTTTCTAACATCTTAAACTTAGTCTTCTTGCAGATTCCTGGTATAGTATCATCCGCTACGTTTGTTAGTTTTCAGTTCCTTTTTCTTGCATTTAAAAATGGCAAGTTGGTGCTTATTCAAGCTGAATTCAAAGTGGTGGGGAGAGAAGCCCTCGTTATTGACAAAAGAGTTATTGTGCAGACAGGAGCACTTCCCTTCCCCTTTCCTCTCACTTGATTCACAGGGAAGTCTGAAGCTGAAAATTATACTAATAAAAATGTTATTTATTTCAAAGCATTAACAAAAAGAAAGAAGAATGCAAGGGTGAGAATATTTGAATTCATGTTAGTGAACATATTACAGTTGACAATCATATTATCAGATTGAAAAAAGACCAAAAACCGACACCTGAGCTTAATAACTTTTGCTGGTATGAACTGCATTTTTCCATAGCAGAAAATGAAAATGGCAAGGTTTTCTATCCCAAAGTTATCTGAGATAAGTATATGAAGCACTGTTTTATAAGTAAGTGTAGTAGGATACAGCTATAAGGAACAATAAAAGTGCTGGTCTGATGGAGTGGAGTTTGTGGGACAAAATGAGTTCAAGATTGCGACAGGGTTTGGCAGATTTTATTTTTTGAGTTCTTTGCAGTGTCCACAAAGTCATGGGAATACAGTTCTAAATAGTAACCACACTTTACTGAACATTCATTCTCACTAGTTGCCTTTTATAGTCCTTTTTCAGTACATTTATTTGGTCTTGACAAGTTATTTACACTAGTGTTTTTGCTAAACCACTTGAGAACATCTAGACTGTTACAAAATTGTAACATCAATCCGTAACTCCAATTTTGTAAAACATGCATGATACAAAAGAGTCTGCTAGTGCAAAAAGAGAAAAGGGATTTAATTTAAGTTTACAGATATCCTCACTAGAGATTTTAACAGATACATCCTTTAATTCCAGCAAGTAACTTACTCCTCTGAATTGGTACATGCCACAGGACCCATTCTCACCAATTCCTCAGTCACTGACACATCATTTTAGAAGTGTTTCATTGCCAGAATCTGTTGATAGATAGTTTTGTCTTTGTCTCTTGTAGAAATAGACTGACATGCCAGCTCCAAGAAGACTGAGAATAGCCAAGAAAATGAGTGGCCAAATGGAGACATGAACAGGTGGGTGAGTGTCTTCATCCTTTTCCTTGCCTGAAATGAATGCATATAACTGTGAGAAATGTTAGTAATATTTTATTCCACGTACAACATGAAAAACATAGAGGAGATGTTCTCTTCTGCCTGAACTGCTGTTCAGTGCAAATCTGAGCCCTGAACTGTTGCTGAACAGAGCCAGGTCTCTGTTACTAAAGCTAACGTGGCTTTAGTGGATCTGGATTACAGTGATAAACAATGCGTGTGGTGGACGCTTGTAAGAATTTAATGAAAATGCATGCTTTAGATATGGATATGGGATGCTAATTATTTGGAAATTAGTTTTACAATATTTTTATGTTATATTACTTACAATAATACCTACGGAAGAGATTTGCGTCTACATCTACATAGCTTGTAACAGCCTAGTTAAAGCTCTCTGTGCCTGTGCTCAAAGTTAGTCACAAGTTGGGTCACTGCTGAGCTTGTCAACTCAGGGTTAGCCCTGCAGCAGTCCAGTCAACCAAGAACATGAGAGTGCTCGTGTGCACGTAGAAGGCACTGTGGGATTACCCTGAGTGATTTATAACCATGCATCCCAGTAACCAGAACCAGGGCTTGTTCTCTAAAAGGGGGTGATTTGGGAAAACTGATTTTACGTTCTTCTTCTATTTAGATTTTTGTAGTTTTCTTATGAAAGCTCTTACCTTTTTGCTGTAGAGGGCTCCCACTTGGCTCAACTTCAATGAATATCAGAGAGAAATAATACGACACTTCATTAGAATTCATATGTTTGACTGTTTTGCTAAAATTATACAGGAACAAATCCCCCTGAAGTATTACCATTGCATTAATAGTATATATGTCTGTTATAAAAGGCAACGTAATTGAGGCAAAGAATACATTATTAAGGTTTTACCTGCCTACTTAACATTACCAAACTATAAAATTCATTCATTTAAAACTTTATATTGTTTTTATATCTACCAACATTCAAATACTGACTCTTTTCTATGTTCACTCAAAAATACCTTTTCACGTTTTTCCTGAAATATTAATTTTAATTTACTATGAACACAATGTACAACTCCGGAGATTAATTTCACACCACACATTTTAGGAAGCTCTGCATGTCCAGAAGGATTCTGCTGTTACAATTAAGTTTAAGGTTCTTAAATGTTTTCCCTAAAAAATGCCCTCTGAATCAAGGCTGTAATCTTCCCATTTGCCTAAGCATAAGAAAGAGACAGCGAAAAAGAAAAGACCTTTATAAAATCTTTTTTTGTTGAAGAGGTGCAAAAAATGTTTGACACTCAGAAAAGAAGAAGGATTAAAGATATTGGATATTCTTATAAAGTAAGAAAAACTATTCTGAATCAAGACACCGTAAATTATCAAGAAAATTTCTTGGCTCTTCTACATTACAGTTCGAACACACACTTGCTACCCAGAGGAGAAGTTATAAAAGCAAAATGTAAAATGAAATGAAAGCAGAGCAGAATGTAAAATAAATAGGTACAAAGCAACAGTATCCCCTACTAAGGCAGGAAATATTTACATATGAGAGCATCTTATGATTCAATGGATGGATATTAGTGTTTCCTTATTATTTTAGTACTATATGGGATGGAATATAATTTGGATGTTCTTACTAAATCTTTAATGGGGATTAACTGATTTACTGCCATGGGCATGTGCTGATTTAAGCATGGAAATTAACTGCACGGGAGATGACTGTTTCTTGGTTACATTTCAATTTGTGTTTTTTAATTAAAGACTGCATTTGCAAAATGATTAAAAGCTAACCCAAAATTTTCATTTCTTTTTCTGAGAACTACTGTGTCTTACGATGTCTTTAATACTGAATTCACATCCTTTCAACTTTCCATCTAAACAAAGGAATCTT